TTAATAAGATCAGTGTTATGAAATATTTATACTTTTGTAACTGAGATATTTCACTTAGCATAATGCCCTCAAGGCTCCTCCATGTTGTGTAATGTTTTATGGGTTCATAGTTTTTCACTGCTGTGTAATATTCCATTGTGTGGATGTACCATAGTTTTCTAGACATTCAATTATTGATGGGGACTTGGGTTGCTTCCATTTCTTTGCTATTGTGAATAGTTCACCAATAAACATGGAGTACATGCATCTGTTTGCGTTGTGGTTCTGATTTCTTTAGGGTATATTCCCAGGAGTGGAATTGCTAGGTCAAATGGTATTTCTATTTCCAACTTTCTGAGACTGCACCAGACCATCTTCTATAGTGGTTGTACCATTTTACAATCCTACCAGCAGTGAGTAAGAGTTCCAATCTCTCCACAACATATCTAGCATTTGTTGCTTGCTTCTCTGCTGAACTTTGCTATTGTTACTAGGTATCATTTACCTTTTTAGTGGTGTTTTTGTAAGATTTTGGAATCATGGTTAAGGTAAAATGAATTTAGGAATATTCCATGTTTTTCTATAGCTCAAATTGTATTAATAGAATTGGAATCAGGTCTTCCCTGATGGTTTGATAAAATTCAACAGTGGAGCTGTCTGGATCAGGACTTTTTTCGCTTAGGAGCTTTATTATGACTATTAAATTCCTTCTTTTGTAATATATCTGTTTAAATTTTCTGCCTCTGAGTTGGGTAAAATAAGCAGTTGTAGATTTTCAAATTAAATTGTTGGAGTGTAGTTTCTTTGTCAAAGTCCTCTTTGTTTCTGTTGGTTCTTTGATGATGCCACTCATTTCATATCTTATTCATGTTGCTTCCATCTTACTCTTTTCTTAGATTTGCTAGTGGCTTGGCTTTATTTTTAATTAATCATCTCCAAGAACCAAATTCTGGTTTTGTTGATTTTCTCTCTTGTTTTTCTATTTCATTTCTTTCTGCCCTGTTTGGTGTCATTTTATGCACTCTAGGGTTGACACCAACTCATAGCTTACCCGCCCGTGCATTTCAGAAACTAGAAATCTCGAGAGAGAGTTTAGACCCGTGCACTTTCTTATGAAATGGCTTGGCCACCCTCCCATTTTGGAATCCTGTAACTACACTATGTATTCCCTCTTTTTACATTGTACTTGTTGTCCTCCTTAAGAACTGATGGCTCTTTTGTCTTTCCAATGTGTTATCTATTTATAAAATTTTAGTTCTAATTTTCTGAGTTTCAATTTGCTGTTTTTGTATAGTTTCCAATTTTCTGTTTATTTTGTATATTTAGTCTAAGCTTTTAAAATTCTTCTAGAGTTTTGCCATGTTTTCCATTGGCTTCCATCCTTTTTCCTCAGGTGATGGTACTTACATTTTATCTCCTTTAGTTCCTCATTACAAATTCCAAGAACATTTCTTTCTCTGTAAGATTTTCTGGTTCTATTTTGTTCACCTGCTAGAGCCATCTTGGCTCTGTGTGTGTGTGTGTGGTGGGAAGGCTCTAAAGTTATCTGTGCTTCCAAAACATTGTAGTGATGTTGTCTTTGTGTTATTTTGTTTAGCATATCTGACTGAGCAATGTGACAGGGCTATGCAAATTGCTTTTAGGCAGTTCCTAATCTTTCAACAACTTGTGTTAGCAGATGACACAACCTTGCTTGCTAAAAGTGAGGAGGAACTGAGGTGTTTGCTGCAGAGGATCAAGGACTGCAGTCTTCAGTATGAATTACATCACAACATCGAGAAAACAGAAATCCTTACTATTAGGCCAATAAAGGAAAAAGAAATGGAGGAGAAAGAGGAATACATAAATTTTAAAGTGATGGGGGAAAAAATCTAAAATAAATGAAAGAGAAGGAGAGTCTTTGATGGGGGCTGTGGGGTGGATGACTGGTTGGTTCTCCTGCCATTGCTGTGGTGAGTGGAGGCAGGGTGTCTGAGCAGGAATGCAATTTCTTCTGCCAGTCCAGCAGAAGGTTCGAGTCTGGATGCCAGAAAACACTGAGTTTCTAGTCAACTGAAAGGTGATTGAGGGTGCAGAGAATAGCCTGAGACATGGTGCCAGGGCACAGATGATAGGTCACCAATGTCAGTTGATACTGGCTGAAGGCAAAGAATATCGAGGAATGTCTACTGACTATTGAATTCACTGACTATGCAAAGGCATTTGACTGTGTCACAAAAAATTGTGGCTAAACTTGAGAAAAATGGGAATCCCAGAACTCTTCATTGTGTTCATACGAAACTTATACTTGGACCAGGAGGCAGTGATCAAAAGAGAGCAAGGAAACACTGTATGGTTCAAAATCAGGAAAGGAGTGCATAAGGCATGTATGTTGTCTCGATATCTTTTCAATATGTATGTGGAAGGGATTATTCAGGGGGCTGGACTTTATGAAGAGGAGTGTGGCATCAGGATTAGAAGAAGGCTTGTCAACAAACTGCACTATGCAGATGACACAAACTTGCTCCCTGAAACTGAGGAGGATCTGAAGCATTTGCTGCAGAAGATAAAGGATTGTAATCTTCAATTAAGACTGAAGCTTAATATCAAGAAGACAAGTATTCTCACCACCAGGCTAACTGGCAGCACTATATTAGATGGAGAAGAGATTGGAGTTGTTAACAATTACAGCTTGCCTGGCTCCACCATCAACACTCGTGGCACCAGCAGTCAGGAAATCAAAGGATGTATTGCATTTGGGAAGTCTACTGTCAGGGACATTTCCAAGGTGTTAAAGAGTGATGATGTCAGTCTAGGACTAAGGCATGCCTGATCCAGGTCATGGTCTTTGCAATTAATTGCTTTGCATCAGAGAGCTGAACATGACTAAAAATGACAGAAGAAGAATTTGTGCCTTTGTGTTGGGCTGCTGGAGAAGAGTATTGAATATACCATGGACTGCCAGGAGAAAAAAAAAATAGGTCTGTCTCAGAGAGAGTAAAACCTAGATTCTCCTTGAAGGCAAGAATTTTGAATCTCTGTCTCACATACATTGGGCATATGGTGAGGAGGGACCAGTCCTTGGAGAGGACATCATGCTTGAAAGGGTGAAGGGACAGCACAGAGAGAAATACCCTGGATGAGGTGAATTGACATGGTAACTGGGGCAATGGGGGTAGGTGTGTTGGAGTCAGTAAAACTGGCTCAGGATACTGTAGAGGTCAGAGCTTTTGTACATAAGGTTGCTATGAGTCACAGGTGACTCTGTCACATAACAAAAATAACAGATTGAAGTTGACCATGATGGAAATATTTATACTCCAGAATTGGCAGTTGCTACAAATGAGACTTTCTGGGGTTTATTTCCTTTTAGACAATCAATGGTTAAACATTTATAAAGCTAACCCTCCATATAAACATCTTAACGGTGGAATTAAATATGAGGTATAGGAAGCTTTTGGATTTTCATAACATTTGTCATGACCAATAGGATAAGGAATAAAATAGATGCTATAAAAACCTAATGTTTCCATAACAGAGAGGGGTGGAAAAATAAAGTCTGGGTTAAAGGAGTTGGGCACTTGGGCAAAGAAGGAGAAAAGAATTTTTCTTTTGGAAAATAGGAACAGGGATCCACTTCTGTTCAGAAGGAAGGCTGGTAGTTAGAGAGAAGCAGGAATCCAGGAGGCGAGAATTCTTCAGAGCATATCATGTGTTTATGGTCCATGCCAAGTTTCACAGCATTCAAGGTGACAGCTCTTGATATGGTTAGGAAACTGGACTTCATCTCAGGTTCTAAGGAAGTGGAGTGATTCATTCCTTAGTCAATTCCCAAAACACATCCCTGGAGTATTCAAGGACCATGAGAAGCAGCAGTTAGAGAGTGTGTGCAGGCATGTGTCCAGGGCAGGGAAGCACATGGAGCAGAGTCTGTAGATATTTAGATCTGGAACCTTCCCTCAGCCCAACTCATCTGAGGAGGAAGAAAGGACCTAGAGGAAATAGAACGATAATTCATTACCTGTTCATTATTAAGAAGTGTTTCCTGCAAAGGGACAAATGCTATATGGTGCCACTGTTGTAGAATGAGGCTGACATCGGGGTAGGGGTAATACTGAGAAAAACTGGATAAATTATGTTTACTGCATTGAAGTCTATGAGGGAGAGAATAGTTTAAAATATTATATTTTAGGGCATTATGTTTATCATAAGAGTACGGAATGAGGATTGCAGAATGGATTCTATTTGGGGTGGGGGTGGAGTGTGTGTGGGGATAGTGTAGTAATGAAGAAGTTTTTCTTTTGCTTTTCAAGGAGAGGAGCAAATGGGGAGGGGGTGCGGTGGGCGGGGAGAAAAGTGCAACAATGAATGAATGGAATTCCAAAATCTCTGTAGATGTTCATTGAAATGAAAAAGAAATAAATTAATTAAAAAAAGAAGAAGAAATGTTTCCTGAATTCCCAGTGTCTTCAGATACTGTCTTCCTGGGATGACAGATGTCTGGGAATAATAAGCCCTTGGGAGAAATGCCAATATTACCATTCTTCACTAAATCCTGTCTCTCCTTCTCCAGTCCTGAGCTCTTAGCCACATAGCACATTGGTAAGATAACTCTCACACCAGCCAACCCAGGGTTCTCAGTCCTACTCTCAAATGTGGTGGATTCTGTTTTGCCCCCACGGAGCACCAACATCAAAATAATCTGGGTGTGATCTCCATTCCATTGCCCCTCACACCGCCCCTCTCTACCATTTTCCTCTTGCAACATTTAAGGCCTTAAGATGTCCCTTAGAAACCCTTTGATCTAATTCATTTCCCTCTGGATCCACATTCAGCCTGCAACCTGAGTACATCTAAGATGAATTCACAAGATTCTGAGGGATTGGAAAAGAGTGTGGCACCTCTCTTTACTCCAGGGGGGACCTGATAATGTGTCACATATGAAACTTGTCACAGGACTGGCCCTTCCTGCTGACCTTTCCCCTTTCTGTGACAGACGTTGGCCTGCTCTCTCTTCATGAAGCTTCCCCCACAACTTACATTCAGGACTTCTGTTTCCTGTAGACATAGAGGACAGAGACACCAAGCACCAGCAGCACTTTGAAGCCCAGGAGGAGACCTCCAAGGAGGGGGAGTGGATCATAGGGCTTTGAGACTGGAAATCAACCGGCAAAGGGAGTGGTTAGAGAAGGCACTCAGGAGACCAATCCCAGGGCTCCTAACTACCTTTGAGCTTCCTGTGTCCACTGATGTCTTCAGCCTTTGAACCAGAGTCCTACTTGTCCTCATTCTCATGACCTTATCAATAGCCAGGTGTCTTCCAAGAGGGAAAGTGTGAGGAGAACATGGATTGAGTAGCCTGTCAGTGTAATATGGGGTTTACCTACTTGGTGCTCATGGCCCCATCGGACATGGATTATATCCCCAGTCCTATGAGGTTCAGAGCTTAGGTAACTGGGACTCAATTAATGGGTCAGAAGATTAATGGACTCAATCCTATTGAAATAGATCATTCTTGCTGTTTAGGATAGCGATCCAAATACTGTTCTTGAGCAAAGGCAGGTTCAACCACTCATTATCTAGGAAGTGAATGTGGACACTGCAGGTAAGGGCAGATTTCAGTGTCTGAGGTACAAGGCTCTATACCAGGGAGTTGAGGATGTCCTCAGTGCAGCCTTTCTTAATGAATCCTAGTGATAGGTCAAAGAAACAGAGTGTCGTGTTAGGGTTGGTCCTCAAACATGACCCAGACCACATTGTCCCAGAGCAGAAGCCACCTGCTCCCTTTTTGTTAGATACAGAAATTCGAGTCTAGAGAACCTCACTTATATATTGTTAGAATTATTCTTGTTCGTTTGCTTTTTTGTTTTGTTTTGTTTTAAAATGAAACAGAGATTAGGTTTGTTCTCAAATGGTCCTTATTAAATACAGGACCATGATCTGGAAGTAGTGGAATCCTGAGAGGAATCCTAGGGTGTTGAAACAGTTAGACATTAGAACTGTAGTGGAAAGATGGGCTGACTGGGTCCACACCGAGGAGTCTCAGAAGAAAGGCCTAGTGATTGGATCCCAGCAGGTAGCAGCCAGGAGCACTCTCTGCAGCAGAGCTGTAATCTGCAGTGCATGGGGTCTCCATGAGCCAGAATTGACTCAAAAGCAACTAATTTTGTTATACATATTGTTGTTAGGTGCCATCGAGTTGAGAACGACCCATAATGACCCTGTGAACGACAGATCTGAACCCTGTCCCATCCTGTGCCATCTTCACTCTTCCTGACACATTAGAGGCCATTGCAGCAGTCACAATGTCAATCCATCTGGTTGAGAGCCTTCATTTCCTTTACCGACTTCTGCCTTTCTGAACATCATGTCCTTCTCCAAGGAATACTCTCTCCTAGCAACATCCCTGAAGTATGTGAGGTGAAGCAGCATCTTCTTTTTATCCAGAAAACACTCTGGCTGCACCCTCTCCAAGACTTAAGAGAAATGGCTGGTTATACTTAGAGACCCTGAAATGCAGATAGAGACAGGTTGAATAGTGCACACAAGAATCCTCAAATGACTGAGCACAATGGCCTAGAGTTATTTAGCTCCAAATATGCTTCTAAAATCACAACAAAAAACCAGGAAGGAAAGAGTATTCAATACAAAAGCAAGGCTCTCAGTACTATTAGCAAGAAAACACAAGCACAAAGTATATCCTAGTTCACAAGGTCACAGGCTTACAATTTTAAGTGTGGAGGATAATGACTAGTCAGAGATAGGCAACCTCATCCTAAATGGAACAGATTTTTACACCTGAACGGGAGAATGGGGAGTTCAATTCATAGAAATCAATTTAGGACAAGCATCTGGTCTGATGCTAATGACAGGATGTCTTTAACATCTCGTAAAAGTCCCCGAGTCTAGTTCCTGGTGTGTATAACTTTGAACAAAAAGTTGCCTGAAACAGGGAGGAAAAGCATGCAGAAGTAGAAATATGTTTTTTCTCAGTCCTATGAAGTTCCTTTAGGTTTTCTTCCAGAGCAGATTATAAATTTCATATTCTATGTTTCAAAATTTGCCCAGAATCTCTTTCTCCTTCCTTATAAAGGCTATGTGAATAGGCTATAGAATTCTACTGTTACTAGAAAATTTTTTTTCTCTTTTAGTACTTTACTGTTGCCATGAGCCCTCCTTCTTTCAGTGAGAAGTCACATGTCATTTCTGCTCTTCTCTTCTTTCTCTTTGAGTGTGTGAACTTGAAAATTCATTGTAATGTACACCAGCTGTGTTAGAATTCTCTCAGCTTCTTGATTTTTTCTTCTCATTTTCAAGTTTAATTTTTTAATGTTATTTTATATTTATTATTAATTTCAATGAAAATTTACTGATACTTTGAATTTCCACTTATTCATTTTTGCACTTTTCTCCCCTCCCAAGGCTCCCCCAAGCTTCTTGATTTTTACATTTATTTTGTTTAACAGGGAAATTTTCAAATAGTATTTCTTTAAGTGACCTTTATGTCCCACTTCTCATTCTCCCACAGGAAAACCACTTGTTTTGAACCTTTTTTTCCTCTTGGTTCTGCAGGTTAGATAATTTGTTTCTCTTATCAGCATCAGTTGATGTGGATTCTGGCTCCGGGTGATCCCATCTGTGTTTATTGGTGGTAGGTGCTGTCAGGTTGAGTACAACTCATTGTGACCCTAAGAACAACTGATGGGAACCCTGTTGTATCTCGTGCCATCCTCGCAATCTCAGACACACCCAAGCCCTTTTCCACAGTCAGCATGTCAACCCACCCGGTCAAGGGTCTTCCTCTCTTTTGCCCTCTCTCTGCCTTTCCAAGCATGTTGTCCCTCTCCAAGGACTAACCTCTCCTGGAAACATGACCAAAGTATGTGAGACAAGTTTCATCATCTTTTCCTCAAGGAGCACTCCTGGATGCATGTTCTCCAAGACATATCTGTTTGTTCTTTCGACAGTCCTGGATATAGATCTTGATCACTCTTCTTCAAGATCACAGTTTTAATCTTCTTTTATCGCTTCAGTCATGGTCCAGCTCTCAGGTGCATAGCAAGTGACTTAAAAGACATGGTCTGAATCAAGCACACCTTTGTCCTCAAGGTGACATCATTGCTCCTCAATAATTTGGAGAGATATCTGGCTGCAGGCTTTTCCAGTGCAATACATCTCCTGACCTCCTGACTGCTGGTACCAAGTGTATGGCGACATTCCATCTTTGGACTCCAAATAGTTTTCAACGGCAGAAGCTGAGTGCCAGACCTTTGTCCCAAGGCACCTGTGGGTGGACTCAAACTGATAGGCTTTCTGTAGGCAGCTGAGCACATTACCTGCTCCACAATACAGGGAATACCTTTACCTTACTCATTCTTGCTTCTGTCATTTCCCATCTGGTCTTGAGGATAACTAGTGAATATTTCCACGTAGCCTATGTTTTATTTATACGATTAACTTCTGGTCTTTTAAGAATTGCTTTTATTCTTTGTTAACATTATCTTCTCCATTAATTAATTTCAAATAGTGACCTCTTTATTGGTCATAGCTGAAACACTTGTATCAAGATACTTTTCTGCTAATTGCTTTGTATGTTGAGTTTGATTTGAGATTTGACTATAATACCACGGTGGTGGAAAGGGTAAGCCTTGACTCTTAACTGAACGGGTAGCTGACTTAATCCAACCTTCAGTAGGTCCACAGAAGAAAAACCTGACCATCTGTTCTCACAAAAATTACAGAACAGAATTCCCATCAGGGAAGTTTTATTCAGTCACAGGAGGTTGACATGTATTAAGATGAGCTTGTTTAAGTCTAATGACAATAAGAATTTGACTACTTAGAAACAAAACAGCAATGATCTTAACATGAAAATAGAAGTAAAATTAGGATACAAGTTTTTTAAAAGGCAGATGAGGAGACGTGAAAGACTCACCAGAGGGCGTGTCTGTGTTCTCGTTCTTCTGCGGCTCTGTGCGCGTCAGGGTCAGCTGCTTGGTGACCACTGGCTGCCCGTCATGCACCACCTGGCAGGTGAGCACCACATGCTCCCTGAGGGCAGATGACTTCACCAGGGTCCAGCTCTTCAGGTTATAGGTCCCATCTTTGTCCTCGGTGAGGATCGAAGCGGAATGTGCTCGGGACACATTTCCATTCTCCAACCAGGTCAAGTTTAGGCTCTTGGGGTAGAACTTCTTCACCTGGCAGGTGGCGTTCACCTGGTTCCCATGGGGTAGTTGTGTAACCTCCAAGGTGGGCGGAACTGAAAGAGCACAGAGCAGAAGCTCTGACCTTAAGGAACACAGATCACAGAGGGGGCTTGAGAGCGGGGAGCTCCCACCATCGTGGCAAAGGAGTCACCCGTGGCAAAGGAGTCACCCGGGGCGGTGGCAGGCATGCAGGGGGACCATACAATGCGCATATTCTTTATCTAATGACTGGTGTCACCAGGCACAGTGATAGCACACAGCAGGGACTCAAAGAATGACAGCTTCTAGTAGAGTAATAGCAATAAAACCAACAGGTTCTTATTCTGAGAATAGTATTATAGTAGCAAAATAAGTGACATCACCAAGCACATAGTAGCTTAGCATGTAGTCAATGTGTAATTATTGCTGCTGTTATTGGTAAATTGGTAAAATTGGCCGAGTATAGCTATTTACTTAACAATCAGTAAGACTGTGGAGCACCAGGATCGATGGAGGGTAGATGATGGTACTGAAGGGACAGAAACCCCATTTTTTATAAACCCCCAATAACGCTAGAGGCAGAAGCGGGCCATAAAAATTCTTAGCTTAGGGCAAACATGAGTGCCCTGGGAAAAGCCTGGTCTGTCCTTGAAAAGTAAGAAATTAACTAGTGTCTACGTGACACAAAAAGAGTAAAGGCGGGCAGAGTAACCAGCCCGTCAAAAGCCGACCAAATGACTGATCCCCCACCCCACCAATCTCTTTGCCCTAGCAGGGGCACTCAAGAAAAAGCTATAAAAACAAGTGGGAGGGGAAACTCGGGGCTTTTTTTCCTTCACCACCTCCCTGAGAAAGGAAAAAAGTCTCCAAGCGTGGAAATAATATAATAAACGCTCTTGAAATTTCAGACGTGTTTTTGGACTTCTTTGAGGGGCATTTTGTGGGCACAACAGTACAAGTGTCGGGCAGTGGGAAAACAGGATGAGGGTCTGGGCTGGGTATGAGTGTCCTCTACCTCGGATGGTCTCAGACAAGTTGGCTGTCCCACGGAGAGAGCCCTGCAGGGTCGTGTGGGCCACCTCACAGATGACCTGGCTGTGGACGTCGTCCTGGGTCAGCATCACCTGAGCTGTGCTGGAGACGTTGTAGGAGACACTGTCGTCCGTTGGGACCACCTCTTCCTGGTGGATCAGGAGCTCGTTCCCATTTTTGAACCACTTCAGGGTGACATCTCGGGGGGAGAAGCCATGGGACTGGCAGGTGAAACTCACTCTGTGCCCAGGGGTGGCCCTTGTTGAGGGGCCAGATACCACAGGGGCAGAGGGCTTGGCTAAAAAAAGGAGTATTTGTAACAGTCACCATCAGCAACTAGTATGTGACACTTTTCCTACAGAATATTCTCTAAGCCTCCTAATAACATTGAGAGGGAAGAGCCCCTGTTTTTATCTCACAGAACAGGACACAAGGGTACAGAGAAATGAGTGAGTGGAGGAACAGACATGGAGTTTTAGGCTGAGACCAAGGCTGAGCTGCTCCATGGTGCCCTCACATGGGCTGATGTCACCAGATGTTGTCTTCTCCTGATTGGTCAGACTGTTGTTGTTAGGTGCCATAAGTGGACTTAGACTCCTAATGACCAGACCAGGTAGGGGGTGCTAACTGGACAGGTTCATGGCTGGCCAGCCTGAATCCTGCCTCCTTCTAAGGCAAGGACATCATGCTTGGAAAGGTGGGGGGATGGACGGTGAGGGAGAGGAAGCCCTTTAACCACGTGAGTTGACACAGTGACTGTAGCAATGGACTGGAGTGTGTCAGAGATTGTGAGGATGCCACAGGACAAGACAGGGTTCAGTTCTGTTGTTCATAGCGTCATTACAGCTTGTGCTCAACTCAATGGCACTTAGTAACAAAGGGGAGAGCAGAACCACAGGTCAGGTACTAGAGGACTAGGGAGAGAATCACAATACTTTTCTTAGACTCTAAGAGGTAACCTAACCACTTGTCAGTGTATTGCCACACCGCCTGGAGGTTTGATTTCAAGGTGAGAATGCCAGAGGGTCCTTAGTTGTCTGTGAAAAATGACTACCTATCACAGACGTCAAAGGAACAAACAAATCTATCTAGGAAGAAGTGTAGCCAGAGTAGCCACCCTTCCTTCTAAGAGCTATTTTGGGCTTGTTTCACCCTTTTCCCGCAGTCTCAGGAGGGCCCAGTCCCTGGACAAGGATGCCAAGCCTGGAAAAGCAGGCGGCCGGGCCTGAACAGGAGGGATTGACACAATGACCGCAGCAATGTTCTCACCCACAGCAGAGCCTGCGAGGATGGGCAACGATGGACAAGGTCTCATTGTGTTGGGTGTGGGATTCCCAAGAACATCAACAACTGGGCACCAGGCTTTTCTGTGTACAGAGTGTGTGATGTCACAGCAGCAGTGGACCTGGCTCAGATTTGGGTTCTTGTCCAGATGCCATCACTTCCTCACTCTGCAGACCCCTAGCCTCCGCCCCGTGTATGCATGAGGATTGGAAACGGGATGGGAGGTCAGCCTGACACAGAACACTAAAAAGCAGCTTCTTACACATGAAAGAAACAACTGTCTAAAATGAATATGTGATTAGGTATTATACTTACAACAGCAGCCCAGAATAAGATACATATCATTGCAAAGAGAACTGGCGGTGGGGGGAGGTAGGTAATTGTGCAATGAATGAATATGAAAAAAAAGTTAACTAGGAATATGAGAAGACAGGGTGAGGGAGGAAAACGTACAACAATGAATGAATGAAAATCTACCTTCTCTGAAAATGTTAAAATCACATTTTTTTTAAAGTATCTTCTTAGCTCCCTGTGTCAGGTGACCAGTCAAAACATGGGAGGCTAGTCTCTGGGGTAAGGACATTCTGAGATGAACAGGTCTGGCTTGGAGTTTTCTGTTCTTAGGGGATGGGAGTCTGAATCACATGGGGTTCCCTCACAGAGTTCACAACACATGAGCCTTCTCCACATCTCTCACCCAGGGCTCCCAGCTCCAATAGGGAAAATGCCTTTCAGGACTTTCTGTTCAGTGTGATGTTTCTGAAATATCAACACAAATGCACACCCACCTCTGCCCTGGCCAGATCCGTTCTGCATTGGAAAGAAAAGAATTGACGCTTACGGAGAGAAATTCTGTTCATGTTGGTAACTGCTTGTTTCCAAAGTCCAGGTCAGAGCTGCACACAGTGGGCCCTCAGTACAGATGCATACTGCACACAGTGGGCCCTCAGCAAGTGTGTGTGTGTGTGTGTGTGTGTGTGTGTGTGTGTGTGTAGGTCTGTGTGTGTGGACATGGCAGTGCTGTGGTGAGAATCTGGGGAGGG